AAAAAAAAAAAAAAAAAAAAAAAAAAAAAAAAAAAAAAAAAAAAAAAAAAGAAATTAAAAAAAGAAATTTAAAACAAAAATAAATGACAAAAAGAGACGATTTTTTTTGGCATTGTGTTTAAAGTTTAAAGTTTAAAGTTTTATAATGCGTAAAAAACAGGAACCGATTGTATATATTCAAGAGGATGATAGATGATGAAGAGTCTAACGAAGGTAATATTGGTATTGGCCCTTTTGTTCCCTGTTGATATCTTTAGATATTGTTTGCAAATCCCATGAAATGTTGATGTCGTAGTCTCTTGGATTAATAGCACTTGGCTTAGCTATAATCTTTCCTTGGATTTTATCGCCAGTCTTTAAATCCAATACTTGATCCATGTAAAAAACAGTTTGTTTCCAGTGAGTATATTGATTCATGGGACCAGTTGCTAGTACTACTTTTTCCTTACCTGGGAAAATAGCATCCCAATAAAAGATGTAAGCGTGACACAACTCATTACCCAATGCCTCCAATTCAAACTTTCTCTCAAAAGCCAAATCTTCTTTTACTACTGTGTTGATATCAATCTCAAAAAACTTGCAACTGTTTGTAACTAATGTTTGATTGTTCACAGTATCTACTAGTGGTTCTTGCATAGCGATTTTGATAAACGGCGAGTAATCGAAACCATACACATCTTCCCAATAATGAATCTTTTCTTCCTTATATTGTCCATCTTCAATACCAGCAATGTACATTTGGCATTTATCTGGTAAAATTAAACCACCCTCCACGAGATATTTGTCTCTTGCATATAAAACAGTATCCAACATTGACTCATAGAGTAAAAAATACCCCATCCATTCAGATATTATAATATCCACAGAGTCTACCGGTAATTCAATATCCTCGAGTTTGCCCTGTAACAATGTAATCTTGTCATCAAATCCATTCAAAGCAACTATTTCCCTAGCTTTTCCAATAATTGAGGACATATCTACCGAATAAACATGTTTGGCTCCTGCTTTAACTGCAAACATTGAAAGAATACCTGTTCCGCACCCAACATCAAGCACAATTTTGTCTTTAAATAAGTCTTTATTCCTGTACATGGCATTTCTATAGCTTAAAGTACGCGATGTATCTTTTAACATTTCTTCGTGGATCCCAAAATGATCATATGAAGCAAAGTAATGTTGTTCAAACTGGTTGAGCTTGGATTTTTCGGTGGCTGACTCCGTCATAGTTTCACTCAGTCCTTGTGTTTGGTATATACGATAGTAGGATGTGTTGGTGGAAAAATGGTGCTTTAATCAAACTGAAAAATTCTGTTTGTAATAACAATAATAAAAGAAGAAAAAAAAAAAAAAAAAGGAAAAGAAAAAAAGAAACAATACAATCAAACACAGGCGATGAGCAGGGCTGCCAGTGGGAAAAAAAATACAAAGTGGACGAGTTAAGAATCGAACTCAAGACCTTTTCCATGCTAAGGAAACGCTCTGCCAACTGAGCTACACGCCCTACTTGTTGATGATTTTTTATTGCTGTTTATTTAGTAGACACTATCGATACTATCCACTATCGAGCGAAGAGAGATAGTGTCGATAGTGTAATTGATGAGTTTTGACAAAGCATTACTAAACCAACTTGATGTAACCTGTAAGTGTTGCACCACTATCTCGCCCTGCTCGATAGTGGAGCATACTAGCTGCCACCGACACTATCGACACTATCTCGCTCTGCTCGATAGTGTCTATTAAGTGTTGCTCCACTATCTCGCTCTGCTCAATAGTGGACCATCTGTAGTACCTTTGATTCCACTGCAAATCTAGCATTTAGCGCCATCTAATGCCTTTCACATATAATGTTGTACAAGATTTCATTTTTATCTCTATATTTTTCATTCGATTTGGCACTAAAAAAAAAAAAATACAAACCAATTTATTTTGTCAACTAAACAGTTACTCAAGGGATTTGGATAAAAAAAAACAAAAAAACCCTCGATATTTATGCTTCATAGCACAAATCATTTTTGAATCTCCTGGTTTTTGTTTTTCATGAAAATAGGTTTGATTTCTAGTATATCTTATCCTTATAGTTTACTAATATATTCTACTTTGATTTCCCCAAAACAACAAAAATTTTTAATGTCTCAATCACAACAGAAGAAGAAAAATAAATTCTGTATAAAGTCAAAATAAATTCTGTATAGAGTCAAAATGGCACTGCTTGATGGTGTCTATAAAGTGTTGCTTTACTATCGAACAGAGCGAGATAGTGTCGAGAGTGTCGATGGCAGATAGGGTGCTCCACTATCTCGTTCTGCTCGATAGTGACGATAGTGTCTGAGGCAGCTAGTATGCTCCACTATCTCGCTCTGCTCGATAGTGGAGCAACACTTAATAGACACTATCTCGCTCTGCTCGATAATGTCGCTTTTGAGTATAAACATTCTTCTCTTTATTTCTTTTTATCTATAAACGAGAATTTTTTATAGTTTATTTTCTAAACGGCTAACTTGGGGCTAACTTAAGTCAAAATAGATTCTGTATACAGGAAAAATGGCACTCCTCAATAGTGTCGGTGGCAGCTAGTATGCTCCACTATCTCGCTTCGCTCGATAGTGTCGGTGCCGATAGTGTCGGTGTCGATAGTGTCGGTGCCGATAGTGTCAGTAACAGCTAGTATGCTCCACTATCTCGCTTCGCTTGATAGTGGAGGACAAATTGGCATTTTTTACATCCTTAGGGGGGTGTCTATATGTAAAGGATCGCCAATAATAACCACAAAAGAGGAAAAAGAGAAACAATTACATATGCATCTTTCTTTATACACATATGTAATTTCTGCATAGACTATTTTTACTTCTAGTTGGCTTTTTGGAACATGTGGTCACTAAAAAACATACTGTGATTACTAAAAGGGAATCAAACCTGTCTCTGTTAAGTTAAACAGAATAATATTTGACATGTAATTTTATCTCCAATCTTGTGTATATGGCCGTTTATTTTTCCCTTTGATGTTTTTTTTTTTTTTTTTTTCTTTCCCTCTTAAGGATTTTTTTTTTTTTCATTCTTCAACAATAGTAACCTATATCCATTTTTCATTGTCAAACTCAATTAGAACACCCGTCGAATTGTATAGGATACATGTCCCTTCTTAAGAAAAGAAAAGGCTCTACCTCCAACTCCGGGACCAACGACGGATCCCAGTCTACTGCATTGAATGGGTCTAACCACATTGACAATGTAGACAATGTTGACAATAGTGACAATGTTACTGATGATGAGGAAGTGAAGGAGAAAGAAAATAGGGATGCAACGAAAACACATCCTTCAAGGAGAGCCTCCTCAACAGCGCATCACACTCACCATCACCAGCATCATGAAAAAACCACAAAACACAAGAAAATTCGAGAATCTCGAAGGGTAATGTTCATTCTTGGTGCATTATTAGGTCTAGTGATGACAGCATTTTTCACAGCAAACAGGCACAATTTTCCGGCCGATCTTGATAGTATTGTTAATTTCGATCAATTGAACAATATCTTTGAGGATTGGAAAAACTGGAAGGATATCTTGCCAACTGGACTACAATCGTTTTTGCAAGATGCCGATGATGCCGATGGTGAATTGCATGGTTCTGCAAGCTCGTTTAGTGTTGGCCAAAGACTCTCTGCACAAAAGAATTTCACTGCAAAGTTTAACGTTGTGATGGTTCCTGGGGTTATATCAACTGGACTAGAATCATGGGGATCGACGACTACCGGTGATTGTCCAACAATTGGTTATTTTAGAAAGAGACTTTGGGGTTCATTCTTTATGTTACGAACTATGATTCTTGACAAAACATGCTGGCTCAAAAATATCATGCTTGATGAAGAAACCGGATTGGATCCTCCCAATGTCAAAGTTAGAGCGGCTCAAGGATTTGAAGCTGCTGATTTCTTTGTGGCGGGGTACTGGATATGGAACAAAATCTTGCAAAATTTGGCTGTAATTGGTTATAGTCCAGATAACATGCTCAGTGCTTCGTATGATTGGAGATTGACATATATGGATTTGGAAAAGAGAGATGGCTATTTTAGTAAAATGAAAGCACAGATTGAAATTAGTAATCGATTCAATGGTGAAAAATCTGTTTTGGTTGGACACTCGATGGGATCGCAAGTTATATTCTTTTTTTTGAAATGGGTTGAAGCGCTGGGAAAGCATTTCGGAAATGGTGGCGATCAATGGGTCAACGATAATATTGAGGCAGTTGTCGATATTAGTGGATCAATGTTGGGAACACCAAAAACTATTCCTGCTTTAATTTCGGGCGAGATGAAAGATACAGTCCAATTGAATGCTCTTGCTGTGTACGGCTTAGAGCAGTTCTTTAGCAGGAGGGAAAGAGTTGATATGTTGAGAACGTTTGGTGGTGTTTCCAGTATGTTCCCTAAAGGAGGTGATGTAATATGGGGCAATTTGACATATGCACCTGATGATCCAATAAACACTCTTGAAACAAATAATACTGATGTTTCCATAGACGTGTCTGACAAAAGAGGGAGTTTAGGGTCCTTTATCAAATATAAGAGTAAAAATGGGACAGTGAGGGAGGTTACAATAGAGCAAAGCTTACACGAATTACTTGAAGAGGCCCCTGAATGGTATTCCAGAAGAGTAAGGGAAAATTATAGTCACGGCATTGCCAAAACCGCACAAGAATTGAAGCAAAATAATCAAGATTTTCTGAAATGGGTGAATCCGCTTGAAGCAGCATTACCCAATGCCCCCAATCTCAAGATGTATTGTTTTTATGGAGTTGGAAATCCAACAGAACGTGCTTATAAATATGTTCCTGCTGATAAATCAGTCAAATTAAATTATGTAATTGATCGGGATGCACCAGATGGAGTAAGTTTAGGAGATGGTGACGGTACTGTATCATTATTGACGCATGTGATGTGTCATGAATGGCAAAAGGGTGCTTCATCAAGATATAATCCCGGCAATGTTAATGTAACAGTTGTCGAGATCAAGCATGAGCCAGATAGATTTGATTTGAGAGGAGGCGCCAAAACGGCAGAGCATGTAGACATATTAGGTAGTGCAGAGTTGAATGAATTAGTCTTAACAGTTGCATCAGGGAATGGGGATGGAATAAAGAATAGATATGTTAGTAATTTGAGAGAGATAGTAAAGAATTTAGATTTATAGAAGGAAAAAGGAAGAATAGAAAATATAGCCAATGAACTTTAAGCGAAATTGTCTTGAGTTCCCTACATTTATGAAGGGCGCGGGCGCGGGCGCGGGCGCGGGGGTGGGGATGTATGGTGAAGCAGAAGAAAAAGAAGGGGCAAGAGATGAGAGAGAAAAAGTTGGTAGGGGATGAGGAATTGTTACAAGAGATTGTGATTCAGGTGCTTGTCGGATTTATCAATCATAAAGCCTTTTCCCACTTTCCCCCTCCTTTCCCCCTCTCCTCGCTTCTCACAAAACCTCACTTCAAGATCTGTAACAGATGTTAAGATCTAATGCGACACTCTTGTGTCCCCTGTACATTTGACAAGCAAGTAACTTTATAAAGGTACCTGAAGCAAATTCTATAGTGTATTTAACTTTTATTTCCCACTATCATCACCCAAATTGCAGGAAACTTGCTTTAGTCTTCACTTACTTACGTTCAAGTAAAGGTTATAGTTTGGTTTGCTAATTGAATTGGTGTATGTTAACTTAGAGCTATTTTTTTGTTTCAAAAATAGCGGGGTAAAAATTAGGGCACTAAATTGTGGCACTAAAACATGGCACTATCATAGCAAAGAATGACATACAAGGCAAGTCTCACTATATATATTTTTTTCCTTCTTTTAGTTTGTGTAGATCGGTATTGCATAATGAGACGGTATTATCCAAGTGGTACATAAAAACCAGGAAAAAAAAAAAACAACAAACAAATTCCAGCTAAAGAAAAAGAGACAAATAAAATTATTTCAGAGCTAATATTAAAAGGAGGTCCCTTGCCGTTTCTTTTCTGTGTGCAAAAGTATATTCAGGGTGAACGGCGAACAGTGAACGGCGAATGGGGAATGGAGTGAACTTTGTTAAAAAAAAAAAGCTTAGTTAAAAAGAGCGTAATACAATGGCTTGTTGAAAAAAAAAAAAAACCAACTCTAATTAAGTAAAGAAGAAATATATGGGGATAAGTCACCTATTGTTTCATCAAGACACAAATGTGCTAAAATAAAAAAAAAAGAAAAATGCACGCTCAAATTGAGAGTTGAATCTCTGTAAATGGATATATACAGTTTTGTAATTGATTAAAGTGGGGAGTAAATTGACATCTTCTTACTGACATTTCACAGTTGTGATTGCTTAGGTTTTCGTTATCATAGATAACTTTAATTTATATTTCGGGCATATGGTAGCGAAGTGGTCTCAAATTTCTCCCAATTTAGTAATAAAGTACAAAGTACAAAGTTGCAAAATGCAAAAATGAGAGAAAAAAGATATTAGAGCACCAACTGCTTTTCAAGACATATGATTAGATAGATGTACATAAAAAAAAAGCAAGAGCAAGAGCAAGAGCAAGAACAAGAGGAAGAGCAAGAGGAAGAGCAAGAGCAAGAGCAAGGATAACAATAATAGGTACAGCAATAGTATGGACAAACAGGCAAAAGTAAAGTGGACAGAAAAAAAGAAAGTCAAATAAAGAATAAGATCAAAAAAAAAAGAAAAAGATAAATATAGAATTGATTTTTGAAAGGAATAAGACATTCAATATTCTACGCTCTTACAGGTAAACTCCGGAATACAAAAAGTTTTTGTTACTTGCGTAAGAGAAGAGATCCACGGCCTCACTAAGCATACTTAAAGCACGGTCTATCTTCTTTGTTGAAGATTGGGAGTTTATATCCAAATTTGTCCAATTTTTTTTTCTTTTTTTTTTTTTTTTTTATATATTTCCTTCTTTCTTTTCTGTCAATGGTTGATATTTGACTAGTCAACTAACAAACTTAACAAATGTAAAAGCTGCCATTCGGCAACATAGGTAATACAGCAAGACTCTTCATTTCTTCCTTTTTTTTCTTCTTTTTCCTTTTTCTTTTGATTTTCAATTATGTTTCCAGCTTATGATGCCACTTATGACGAATTGAAGGAGAATCAGGAAAGAGACGAAACAAAATATCAGCAGCATCTCCAATTACAGCAACAGCAGCGACAGGGGCCCCAATTACCGTTAAATTTCCACCAATTAAATCAAATAAATCAACTTCAACTTCAAAAATTACAACGACACCAGCCAATTTTACCTTTAACATTTTCACAGCAGATATCCCCTCCTCAACCTCCTCAACCGGCTCAACATTTACTGCAGCAATTTTTTGAAGTTACTGAAAGTTCTCCAATCCCGATTTTGAAATCTTCTCCTGAACCTATTGGTAATAATCATCACAGTGAGACACCAATGAGAAAATCAAAAAGTGGAAATGATCAATTAGGTATCGATAATATATGTCGATTTTGTCATAAACATTTTACACACAAAGGTTCACTTATGAGACACTTGGATTTGAAAAAGGGCGACTCGTTTCATCCTACAGATCAAATAAATAGTATGAGGAACAATAGTCATCTTCGGCGGAAAAGCATCGATACCATTTCATTTTGTAGTGCAACAGCCATGGAATTATCACCATCAATAAATAGAATAACTACACCAACAACACCAACCACCACCACCACCACAACAACAACAACAGCAACGCGGAAAAGAAGATCTTTAAAGAAGAGTATGGCAAGATCCCTGATGTCAAGTGATTCCGCAAGTGGTCAAAAGGAGAAAAGTAAACTAAGAAGAAAACTTCGAGATCGCAGGATTAAGGCTAAAATATTGACTAACGAATGGTTTCTTGATTTGTTCACAAAACTACCTTTACCCGATGTAAGACAAAACTTAACACCGGCAACATTTTGTCACTTCGTGGCGTTTTACATACCGTTGAAGAATTGGCCCTCACTAACCTCGGGGTATCCTTCTGCTGTTTCTTTCGGGGAAGTTACAAACCAATTACGATTGCGAGCGCATGAAAACTTTATACCAACTCTCACAAAAAGCTTTCAGGTTTACGAGCAATTGGATATTACTCAAAAGAGAGAAGCTTGGCTTAACGAAATACAACAATGCCTTCTTTCTTCAATTAGCGAGTTCTCATTGTGCGACTTGAACAATGTAAATTCGATAATCGACAAAAAAGAACAAAGTATTTTTGAACAAATTTGTGCAAATGATAATCTATCTGCTTTTGTTGATATCGATGAAAACCCAACAGTAGAGGAGGAAGAGGAAGAAGAAGAAAATGAAGAAGAGGAACTCGATACAAACTCGCTTCCGATTAATCCGTTACCACCACCACCACCACCACAACAACAACAACCACAACAACCACAACAACAACTACAACCACAGCCCAATACTATTATGTCACACCAAAACATTTACAACTCTCAATTACCAAACCTTGCCAACTATCTAAATGACTTTAGTTCATCTCATTTTTACTAGAAAAAACAACAGAAAAAAAAAAAAAATCTCTTAGTTTATATTTAAGTAGTAGAGATTCTCAGCCCCTTAATAATTGAATAAATGAAAAAGAGAACAAACGGAATTAAATTTTTTTTTATTTTTATTTTTTTATTTTTTTATTTTTTTATTTTTTTATTTTTATTTTTATTTTTTTTTTTTTTCAAGTTCTTTGTATTGGTGAAAAATGTTTATAGAATAGGTTTTGCTCATCCCTCTCCATGGATTACAATGTTTCCCGAACTGATAAGAATAGCTGTTTGCGGTGATGAAGCTGTTGGGAAATCTTCTTTAATAACATCTTTGATAAAAGAAAATATCCTGGAATCTCAAGTGAACAATGTCTTGCCGCCTATTACTATATCTAAGAATGATTACATTGAGAGTTTACAAGAGTTACCTGAAATGGGCAAGCAGCAGTCTCAACCAAGAGCGCGCAAACACAAAGGTAAAGCCGAATTGTTGCGGTTACAGACATTGAACTCAAAGGAAGTACTGGATATCATTCCCAACACAACTGTGGTTACTGACACTAGCGCATCTGATCCTGGTAATTTGCAAAAAGAATTGAAAAGAGCCGATGTTATATGGCTAACATATTCAGACCACTACACTTATGAGCGGATATCATTACATTGGATGCCAATGTTTCGTTCTTTAGGGGTAAACTTACCCATCATTCTATGTGCCAACAAAGCTGACTTATCACCAAAATCACTGTGGAAAAACCAAAATGCTGAGGAGTTCATTCCTTTGATAAATGAGTTTAAGGAGATAGAGGCTGGTGTCAGATGCAGTGCGAAAAACAACTATAACGTAGTTGAAGCATTTTATTTATGTCAGCGTGCAGTAACACATCCAATTTCGCCGATTTTTGATGCAAAGGAAGGAAATTTAAAACCTGGTGCCATTGCAGCTTTGAAAAGAGTGTTTTTTCTTTTTGATACAGACCAAGATGGCTATTTGAACTTTGATGAATTTAATGAATTGCACAAGAAATGTTTTCGTGTTGCAGCAGCTGAATCGGATTTTAATGATATTGTTAATTACATCGACTCCAAGATTTGTCAGGATCTTTTGTCTGCCCCAAAGAGTGGTTGCATTAGTGAAGACGGATTCGTATTGTTGAACAAATTGTATGCTGAGTCCGGAAGACACGAGACGATTTGGTGCATTCTTCGAGCGAATCATTATACCAATTCTTTGTCTTTAGATGACAAGTTTTTGTTTCCGCACCTTGACGTTAATCTAAATTCTAGCGTTGAGTTGAGTCCTAATGGCTTCAGATTTCTTGTTGATTTATTTATCAAATTCGACAAGGATAATGACGGCGGGTTGAGCGAAGACGAGCTTAACAATCTATTTAGACCAACCCCAGGAATTCCAAAGTTATGGATTGAAACAAACTTTCCATCATCCATTGTGTGCAACGAAGAAGGCTACGTAACTCTACAGGGTTGGTTAGCACAATGGAACTTGACCACGTTTCTAAGCTATAAGACCACCTTGGAATATCTAGCCTATCTAGGGTTCGATGCTGGAAATTCGATCAAAGCTCTTAAGCTTACGAAACCAAGAAAATGTAGACAAAAGCAAGGCAGGATTTACCGCACAAGTGTCAACGACAAGAATATATATAATTGTTTTGTAGTGGGAGCACCTAGAGCAGGAAAGAGTTCTTTGCTAGACCTGTTTCTACATGGTTCCTACAGCGAAGTGTACTCCCATACAAAACAACCAAGATTGGTTATCAAGGATATAGAATTACGAGGAGGCAAGCAGTGTTATTTAATATTGGAGGAGCTTGCCGAATCAGAAGGTGCCATCTTGGAAAACCAAAAGAGACTAGACGAGTGCGATGTTATTTGCTATACCTATGATTCATCTGATCCAGAAAGTTTTCAATACTTGGTTGACTTGCGACAAAAGTATCCTCATTTAGATGAAATTCCCTCGGTGTTTGCTGCATTGAAAGCTGATTTGGACAAGCAACAACAGAGATCCGACGTACAACCTGAGACGTATACAAGAGACTTGTTCCTTAACTCGCCGTTGCATATTTCATCATCCTGGACCTCCTCTCTTCATGAGCTTTTTATCCAATTGGTAGATGCTGCAAACAAACCGCAAAGTGCGACTCCCGGGTTAGAATTTAACAATGCAGCAGTCGACCAAGAGAATTTGAAGCATTTGATGATGGCCGGCGGTGCTTTAGGCATAATGGCCCTCGTTTCTATCTGGATGTTGAATAGCATGAGAAGATAAGAGGAATAGAAAAGGATAAAAGGATAAAAGGAAAAAGAACAAGAAAAAAGAAATTGATAAAACCCATTCATCTCATCGCGCAAAAGAGAAAAAAAAAAAAAAAAAAATGAAAAATGAAAAATTAGATACAAGTTTGAATCATAACTGTTAGGTTATAACAAGAGAATACTTTTCCGTGTACATACTCAAGATGTCTTCAGAGTATAAGCAAGTCACGGTTGATAAATTAATCGAAAATACTTTTGATTTGGGAAATTTAGCTACATTTGACCCTAATCCTCTATCTAATGAAAAATTAGCCAGTAAGAATGAGCTGGAAAAAGAGGAATATCTAACGTCAATTGCCAGAGATAATACACAACTTTTGATAAATCAGATCTTATCACTCCCTATCAAAGCTTCAACAGACAGCCAAGGTATAACTTTAGTACAACTACCCCAACCAACAACTTTATTACCTCGAGAGAAGGGAATACCTAAAGCGGCCCCAAAAACAAAATGGCAGGAGTTTGCTGCTAGAAAGGGTATTAAAGCAAAATCAAAAGACAAATTAAAGTTTGACGAAGAGACTGGAAAATGGGTCGAATCATGGGGATACAAGGGTCATAATAAGAAACTCGACGACCAATGGTTAGTGGAAGTTGATGACAAGAAAACAAAAGAAGGTGATGATTTGATTGATCCAAGGACATTAGCTAGAGCTGAAAGGAAAAAGCTTATCAAGAAGAACGAGTTGCAGCATAAACGGAATTTGAAAAGGTGAAAAAACAAAAAAAAGTGCAAGGGTCTTTATTACACACGGAGTTTTTTTTCTTTTTTTTTTTGATCAACACATATGATTGATTAAATGGTATTTTCTTTTGAATAGTAAGTGTTTTTAATCGATGTCTTTGTTTTAATAATCAATGTCTTTGTTTCATTACTCAATGTCTTTGTTTCATTTTGTCGCTAGTGATGGCAGCTAGTGTTAAGAGCTAGTGTGCTCCACTATCTCGCTTTGCTCGATAGTGTCACTGTAGTATTTTTTTTTTCTTTTTTTTCCCTCCATATTGCTAATACTGGAAATAGTTCAAAAGAGCTTTTTCGGAGCTGGGAGAAGGAGACAAAGACGAAGATTACATATTTACATGAGTGCTTATAATCCCGAGAAATACTTGCCGACAATAGATGTACGTACATAAAAGCAATAAAAATGAAATCTAACAAAACCAACAGAACCAATGGTCATAATCCATTGTTATTATGAATTATGTCAAGATCCATTGCTACGAATTTTTTTGATGCCTTGGGTGCTAACTTTCGAAATCACTAGGCTATTCTCAGTGTTGCAGACTTGGAAGAAATTACGGTGAAAAAGATCCGAAAAGCGTTGCAGGAGCTATTTGGAATTGACTTGAATCCACATAAGAAAGATATAAATGAGATAATATTGGAAAGATTTTATGCTTTACAAAACAGTAATAGCGATAGACAAAAGAAGAAGGAAATTTTGCAGTCGACTGCAAAACTGCTGACGGAGGAGTCTGGTAGTAAGGAGTCGAGGAATAGAAAAGCGAAACAAGCAACAAGAAGAAAAGCAACAAAAAGAGTTGTTACCGCTACTTCAAACAATCCTTTTAATAAAGATATGGCTTTGAGTGCTGAGTTGCAAAGTGTAATTGGAGAAGAAAAGTGTTCGCGACCTCAAGTAGTGAAACGACTATGGGCGTATATTAAAGATAAGGACTTGCAGAATCCTTCAGACAAGAGACAAATTATGTGTGATGACAAATTGCAGCAGTTATTTAAAAAGAGTATGTATATGATTAGATGGATTGAAGGTGCAGACTTTTCAAAGGAAGCAACAAGACACTATCGACAATATCGAGCGGAGCTCACTAGCCGCCACTGACGCTATTATACTAACGATTGCATTGAAAGAAACCGTAGGTGCTTTTGAAATGAATAAGATTTTGAGCAATCATGTGTTTAAAATTGAAGACAACGAGATGGTGGAAGATGGTGTAAAGGAGGAGGAGGAAGAGGAGGAAGAGGAGGAGGAAGAGGAGGAAGAGGAAGAGGAGGAAGAGGAGGAGTCAAAAGAGATAAAAGAAAAGCCTAGTTTCGAATATAACTAAAACTTTTCCAAATATGTACCCCGGTTGAAAGCTTTTTCCAAAATGTATCTCGCTCTGGTCGATAGTATCTAATAACACCTCACTTTATTCTTCTTCAATTTTTTTTTCCTCTTCTCAGTTACTTATCTGTGCTTTGAAAAGGGTGACTGTTTTGTTATCAAGCCCGCAGATATCAATCAACACTGACTAGTTTGTTACAACACTATCTCGCTTTGCTCGATAGTGACGGCAATTACCAGGAAGCACTGAGCTATTTCTGCGCTACCATTTACAGATCTTGGACTTTGCAAAGCTGCACTGGCCTTTCCTTGAAGAAGCGCTACAAAAGTAAGCCGTAATTTCGATAAATATGTGTGTTATTATTTATACGAATCAGATATGAATCGATATGCTTGTAATGAAACGAAACCTGGAAAGTACTCTAAAAAACCTAAACTTTTATTTTTTGTCTTTCTTTTATTGATCTGAAAGATAAGAGAAATGGAACGACATTCAGATAATCCAATTCTCGCGTGTTCTTCTCACCGGCTAAAAAAGTCGTTTAGCTAATAAGCTCTTTAAATCTTTCTACTCACTTAGTTTGACGAAGATTTTATTAGGACGACGCTTAAGAGATTGCTAAAAAAAGAAGGAACAAACGAGGCGGTGAGTGTTTGTAGCTCGGTAAGGAAACATCTCATTTCTTATTAGAAAATAATGAGCCATGGTGCTGGCGGCAATAACGACGATGACGAGCTTTACAAGTATGTTCTCAAGGTTGTGATATTAGAGTACACAAACGAGGTGAGGTTTAGAACGCCTATTCTATCAGCAAAAGACCCAAAAAGACAGCATGTTGTTGCTAATAGACGAAGCATGTTGTTGGACTCGACCTTACCCAACTATGCCATGAAAGGGTTGAAAGCACAATTACAGGATATAATGACCAAGAAAAATGGACTTGTGAATGAAAAGTGCCGAAGATCTTTATTGAGATTGTACGGCGACCTCCTCGATACCAAAAACGAATACGAGCTAAAGAATATAGATTTTTTGATACCCAAGTTTGCTGCTTACGCCAATCAAGAATTGAAAAAAGTGGGAATTATTGATGAAGAGGAAATCACGACTAGCGTATTCAAGCAAACGACCGATTTCATTGACATGCTCTTGACAGTTTTGAGAAGCAAAAAAGAGCCGGATCAAATTATCATATCAAAGCTATTGGAGCGCAGAGACGAGTTTGCTAAAAACCGGATAAAGAACGAAGCTAAGGAGGAGGGGGCGACGGTGCTGAAGTATCCGACTAAATCATATAGGGTTGAAGATATGAACGATCGACTAGTGCAAACTACAAAAGACCTTTTCCAGGTAGATAATGTAAAGATTCAAACAGATGTATTCAAATACAAGGATACGGCATTAGCAAGTTGTGCACATGATGATATTTCAAAATTGAAATTGAAACTCGATTCTCTACAAAGATTTGCAAGTGAAGACGATCTGATCGCTTGGACAAGGCGACGAAGTAATTTGGAGTTGCAGGTGAAAAACAGGTACAAGACTGTAAACAAGACAAATAGCCTCCCAAAGATACCGCCGAATGAAGAGTTTTATATGTTGCCGAAGGCCTCCCAGATAAGAAAATTATTCATTCGATTGTCAGTTTTATTGACTGAATTAGAAATCAAACAAAATAACAATAAGGGTCTTGTTGAAAAAACTGTAATAAGTCCCCAAAAATTGGACTTTTTAAACTTGATAGCAAGGTTATGGTTAGTTGATTATCCAACAAGAGCGGCTGCATTGTTTCATGCATGTCATGCTTGTAATGCGCTTTTATCAAAGGAAAATTCAGAATCCTCTCAAACCGTGTTTTTGACAACAAGCATCAATATTATGAATGAATGCAGGGAGATTGTTGGGGAAGGCAATATTGAATGGGAGCAAAAGAAAAATTGGAGTCTCGATGACCAAAAGCTATGGGAAGAAAGCTTGATTCTCTCGCATAATCAGGTTTTCCACTCGTTTAAAGATTGTTTTTCTGCTATTTTCAACGAAACCGAAAAGGTTAAATTTGGACCTTATCTTGAGTATCTTGAAGTTCTAGAAACAGACCCATTATTTGACCCACAGGTGTCACTAGAATTGACCAAAAAATGGAAAAAACGACTTACCAAAACACTACTTAAGGTTGGCGCTAAAAGGTATGAAAGCTACCTTGAGAAGTTGCCCCGTGATGATAATTTGGGCGTTTTAGAACTATTGAAAATATGCGACGCCATTGTTAAAGATATAAAAAAGTTGCAAAAAAAGTACAAATCCCCGTTTTTGGGAGTTTTGAATATAGCTCAAACAGTTGCTTCGGTTACAACAGGTATGTTTGCCAGCGATGCAAAAATGATTTTCAATCACATAGAAGCATATTTTGCATTGCGTGGAGAACAAATAGCTACCGCCGATGCTCTAGAAGTTTACCAACTGCTTCGAGAGATTAGAGACATTTATCAACAAGTTTCAGTTTCTCAAACTCCGTTTCAATTTGATTTGGAAGCAAAATTCTTTCCTTACTTGAATACATGGGTAGAAGAATCGGATGAAAAACTTCAAAAGATTGTGGACGAAGCTTTGAAAAAGGATGACTATATTCCTCTTGATCTTAGCGACAACGAGCAACGAAGTAGTCGCGCCATTTTGGACACAATGTCAATCATCAAGCAGTATCTTCTGATACTAGGTAAACAGAACTGGAACGACGAGTTTCAGTTGGCCCAGTTATACACCAAATTGCTTCGCAGTATCTCCAACGGTGCAATATATTACTCTCTCCAAATATCCTCCAAGATCAATAACGAGTTATTCAAACCGGAAAACGAAGAGCCAAAATCAAATTGGTTGAACGAAGTTAAAAGTGTGGTGAACAACATACAAAATTTTACAAAGTCCGAACCAGAAGTTGTCTTCAATTTCGAAGCACAGACTTGCGTTGCTCTCAACAATATTGCCGCATTGATGGAAAACTTGACTAAACTCGAGGGTCTGATTGACCCGGAACGTATATCCCAATCACTTGTGCTGTATGATCCAAGCTTAGGAGAGAAATTTTTCAGTCACGTGGTTACGTTAAGGGTGGTAAGAGCAGAGAACCTCTGTTTGTATAAAGATCCCACAATTAACAGAATAAATCCGTATGTGTCGTTGATTGATGTCGTTAACAAAAAGTCAATTGGACGGACAAGATCGATGAAAAAAACCTTGGACCCCGACTGGGACGAGGAGTTTGAAATAACCTTACCAGCAGACTCTACGCTTGAGTTGTCTGCGATGGTTTGGAGTGATAACATGGGACAGCACCAAGTTTGCGGGAAAACGTTTTTTGAACTTGATCCAAAGAAATTCAAACACAATGGTTTTCCCGAGGAGATTGTTTTGGATCTTGATGTGCTGGGGAAATTGGTAATCGAAGTTGCAGTGGAGAGTGAAACGATGGATGCAATGTTTGCAATGGGACGCGCATACAGAGCTTTGAATCGGGTCAAGGCAAAGTCTGTGAGCTTAATGGTTGAAAAGTTTCTGGGATTTATTGAACATTGTTTCTCCAAATCAAACTTGAAAACAGTTTGTGCAAAAGGTCAGCCGGCAAAGATTGAAGTAGAGGCCTCAGTTGAAAACTTGTGTGATTATTTAAACTTAAATTTGAGCGTTTTGAAACAATACTTGAGAGACGACATTTTTATGGAGGTTATGCTAGCTGCTTGGAAAGAGCTTATTAGATGTGCTGATCAGTTGTTACTACCAAAGCTATCAAAGGCTAAGATTGGCACTGATTCCAAGAGCTGGCAATCAGTATCCACAAAAATTGCCACTGTTTCATTATCCACTATGAACATGTTCGGTTACCATAGTCCCTTGTCTGTTGTTGAAATCGAGACCGTTTTGCGCTGGCTAGACTTGCTTACGGAATTTTTTCACAATGAAGGGAATGGACCATCTATCGAAGAATTGAAAAATAATCGGTATCAGTCGATTCTACTTATCCCAGCATTTTACGATCAACCAGTGGAGCATCTTATGGAAGAAATTGAGAGATTAGCACCTGCATACGTGCAAATGCTAACAGCTCGCAATAACTTGAGCAGTTTGAAAGGATCAGATGGGTTTTTGAAAAGAGCAGGAAGTCTCTCGCGTAGCACAACCATATACGCCAACGCTACGAGTAAAACGAGAGCAGAAACGGCAAAGTATACCCAAGAAGCTCAAACGGATCCCTATTTAAGCATGATCCTGAAAGAAGACATAATTTTGAGAATTCTACTAGCTCGGGGTCAAAAGAAATTTGTTAGGCGGAGACTTAAAGAAAGAACAAAGATTGCTTACAGCTTGGCAACGGAGCGAATGGCTAAGATGGCTGCCGAAAAGAATCTTTTGCGGTGAAAGTTGTAGTAGTACACCCACGAGAATAAAAATTAAAGAAGAATAATTTGTCAAAGAACAAAATAGAAAACAAAAAATAAAAGGGAAGAACCAACAAAATACCTCGAGATGAAAAATATAGAATTGAAAAAAATACTAAACTTTATTGAACTTGCAGTAAATTTTTTTTTTATACATACATCACCCTTTTACTCCCCCCTCCCCCTCTCATTCTCTCCCTTCTTGTATTAATTAAGCGGATGCTTTATTTTCTAAAGCCATATCTGCCTCATCGTCGTCCTTTAATGATAATTTCTCGTCAATCAACTTTTTGAAACTTTTAATACTTTCATCTAAACTCTTGCCTTCCTCCTCTTGACTCTTGAATGTCGTTTTGGAAATATACTCATCATGCCCGCTATCGAAATACAATTTATACGAATTTTCAGCAATGGCCACCTTCAAGTTTGAAACTACACGACCTTCAACAGAATCCTCTTCTACTTCTTCGATAAACGATTTCAAAAATGGCATGCTCAATTTGGATGCAGGAACACCCTCTGTAGGATGAGACATTACGTAGCTTGTCACGTAGTAGTTATATTGCTCTTCGGGGCTGTTTTGGTCATTCAAAGTTAAGTCATCTAAACTGATAAATTGGATATTAACCATATGAGTTTTTTCATTGTAGTTGATTTTGAACATGTTTTCGTCCGCCGTCATCAAAGCTCTAGCCAGAATACGGTACAATATCTGCTCCTTAGCACTTGAAGTGGGCTTTGATCGATCGTTTTCGAACAATACCATTAATTCTGACGTTTTCACATCAGTTATCGTAGTGTATACATGTTTGACTAGAGCTTGCACCACCTTGTCAACGGTGTACATTCTGTACGCTTTATTCTTATATCCTTGACGTAAAGTCTCCTCAAACCATTGGTGCTCAATTTCTCCCTCAATTAATCTCTCAGACAAGCTGAGAACTTGTTCGTAGCAATCTTTTGTACCTACAATCTCAATTCCCATATTTTGTAACTGATGCGAAAGCAAATTCAAGTCCTTTGCAAATTGCGGGTACTTTCTGTTCCTAATTTCGTTACCGACAGCTTCGTTCATTTCCTTGATATGGAGTAATCTCTCGTACAAAGTTGTCAAATGGCGGAAAAAAACGTAAATAGTGGTGTTGCAAAAGAGGTTAAAATTCTCTCTCTTTTTGAGCAGAGAGTCATCCTTTGAGGAAAACTTGGTATTTGCTGATGTAACCCACAATTCGCCAGACTTTTCTACTTCTTCGTTAACTTCCTGTAAAGCAGACTCCGTTCCTTGGTGCTCGGGAGAATCTGCAGCATCATCCTTCTTTGATTTTGATGCCTTTTTCAATACATTCTTAAGCAAATCACTGTCTCGCAATCTCTTCTTGGAAGAAGCGTCAGTAGAAGAATTGTTCGCCAGCTGTGGAGTGCTACCTGAAGACCCTTCATCCTCAACATCCCCCGCAGTAGTTTCTTCACCTCGGCTTTGGACTGCCTTCTCAACAACTTCTGTTGGTATGCCAAAAAATAAGGAAATGAAAAACTTTAAAAACTGGGTTAGTTTTTCCCGATCGTGAGATGAGTACGAGGATGACTTATTGATAAACACACTAGCCAACTTGAAGACATCGAACAAAACTTCTTGATCATCAAACTTGTAATGTAACTGCTCTTGAGGTTTGGGAGTGAGTGGGTGAAGTCTTTTATTTTGTTGCTCAACTTTCACTGTACTGATCTCGCTAACAAGCTGCTTAGCCGTAAACAACTTCTTGTCTGCTTGCTTAAAAGTAAGTCCCAAATGATCCAAAGACTTGTAAAACACCTTCTGTTCCATTTCTCTCCAAACTTTATTCCATTCTCTTTGAGCACGTTTCCACTCCTCATCTTTTTGCTTCAATCGCTTCAATACAATAGGCACTGCTATTGCTGGATTTTCGTGAAGTGCATCGATAACTTCAAATCCACGATCTTTATCGTATATTTTTCGTATCACTTTCTTGTAAATTGTAGTTGAGTTGTGACCCAAACCTGGAGGTAGCTTAAAGTTGGCCTTTTGTTCGGGTGTCATATTGGCAATTCTGTTGGCAATTGTCTCCAATATTTGTATGGTTCTCAAATTTGATTCCATATAATAATCAAACTCAAGTCTCTCTTCCTCAATTTTAAACAAAACTTCTTCGTACTGATTCTTACGATGAGCTATGAAGCCCGAGTCCTCCGATGCCCACGTTGGATGTCCCACCCATTCATCATTCAATACTTCCCAGCACATTTCATCTCTACCAGAACATGGCATATAAGTCTCTACCTTAGGGAGTTGTCTATATGAAGGACCGTATGCCTTACACAATGAAAGTTCCAATGCGTGTTTCTTAAACGTTATATTTTCTAAATTTTGAGGCTTGTCGTCATATTCAACAAATACCTTGAACCACTCAAATAAATCAGCATTTGTATCACCCAAAAAACCCTCAACACGCTCCACAAGAGTGTTTTTATCAATAATGTCTTGTGTGAACAAATTCAAAAGCTTTAAAAATTCGCTATAAGTTTGCTTGTTTCCTAATGCCTTCTTTATCTTATCAAAAGCGCCAATCTCTTCCGAGAGTGAAGAGCTCTTGACTGTTTTGGCAGGAGGCACGGGCTCTGGAATACCAGGCACCAAAGTTGCATTCGGTGTTGGAATGACCACTTGTCCGGTTCCTGCTGCATTAGAACGCCCTTGAGCTTTTGTCAGCTTGGGTGCAGTTAATCCTGAACGAACCCCTGAAAGTTGAGCTTCTTGATTGTAATTGTCAATACTCACTTCAAATGTTTGCTTCCCTTTTGAGGAAACAAGTTCGGCTGTTGGTCCCTCATACAAATCTCTTTGTCCCGGGCTTGTCAATCCTAAACTATTGATACCAAGTTGCTGTTTCTGCTGTTGGTGTTTCTGCAGCTGCAGCTGCAGCTGCTGTTGTTGTTGTTGTTGTTGTTGTTGTTGGAGTTGTTGTTGTTGATGCTGCTGCAGCTGCTGCAGCTGTTGTTGTTGTTGTTGTTGCTGATTTTGCTGCAGCTGCTGTTGCGGTTGATGCTGAACATATTGCGATTGACCAAAACCTTGTCCAATTGGTTGAAAATTTCCCACTGGAGGTAACTGTGTTTCGTTATTGATATAGTATTTGTTTTGACCCAAATCCATTTGCCGGGTCTGTGCAAAACCTTGATTAGTCGTATCCGGTAAGAATTGCTTGAAATCGTCTAATAAATCAGGACAATTTGCAAAAAGTTGAGTCACCTGTTCATAAACTTCGGCAATAGGTTTTTGTTCCCTTTGATAGGTCTGCAAAATCTCAAGAAACTGTTTGTATATGTCAGGTTGATTTGCAAATCTCGTTTTTATTTTGTTCACATAAGAAATAGCATGGTTAAACTCAATTTGACCAGAGCCATTAGTTGGGTTAACAGCTCCATCGTCAAGTTGGCGTTGCTGATGTTGATGAGGATGCTGTTGATGGTGATGTTGTTGTTGCTGTTGCGAAACAGTCGCGGCAACTGAATTTTCATCATTACCCCATCCCTGATTATAAGAGGTCCCTGCAATATTTGAGCCTGTTGTTGTTCCCGTAGGTGTCGTAACTCTAATTGGATTGGGATCCGAGGGATCTAGTGAGCACTCTATTTTGTAGCCTGGAGGCAAAAAGGTGTTAAACCCTTGTATTAAGTTAGGGTGTCCTTTGAACAAAGTTGAGACTCTATCGATAACTCCTGGCGTGTCGATACTATAACAGCAAATGTTAGTAATTTCTTCCAAAAAGACAGACCCTGATACACAAGCTCAATTTCTCAAAAAAAAAAAAAAAATGAACATACCTTTGAGACTTAAAGTCTTTCATTATATCAAGAAAATTATTGTAAACCTCGGATTGGTTATAGAATTGAATTTTGACTTGATCCAAATATGATAACGCGTCCTTGACATTTAATGGTCGGTACACATTGCTGGTGGTGGATCTATTTGGAATCCCTCCAATTGTAGCGGCATTATTGACAACACCAACTGATTGGGGTTGTTGAAGAGAATGCGGCTGCAGCTGCAGCAGTTGTTGTTGCTGAGGCTGTTGCTGCTGTTGCGGTTGCGGTTGTGGTTGTGGTTGCGGTTGCGGTTGCGGTTGTGGTTGCTGTTGCTGTTGCGGTTGTGATGGCAGTAATTGAGGGGGAGGGGCAGAAGGTGCTGCTGGTGGTGGTTGTGCACCTACTTCGGGACCAACAATTTGGTGGTCAGAGTTGATACTGGCCAAGGTAGCTGGTGGTGGTAAGGCTGAATTAGATGGATTTGCAAATGCTCCAACAGAAAGTCTCCTAATTTCTGGCGTTTGTCTTGAGTGATCGGAATTATGTCCTAGTTGAACGGATTCGTTTACCGGGTGTATTGAAGGGATTGTGAACCCATGGCCATGTTGGGAGTGGTGGCCACTACCATTTCCTAAACTTGGCAAATTTGGTAACGGGTAAAACTGTTGGGAACCTGCAAAAAAAAAAAAACAAACAAAAAGTTAGTAAAAGCCGAAGTATCCTCATCCAAAATGCAAAGCATTTTGGATGAGGTGAGTTGGTTTTTTTGGAAAGCCATTGTTTTCTCAATTAAATGCGGAACTAGTGGTAGCAGCTAGTGTATCGCAACTCTGAGTTTACATACCTTGTTCTAATGTGGCTGGAGGTGGTAATACAGGTGGATGTTGACGGCTAATAAAAAGGGTTTGTTAGTAAAATGGGGGTTCACGAATGATAGCAGTATTATTATTATTATTTTATTTTTTTTAATACTAGTGACACATACTTGAATTGCTGTCCAAGGGATCGTTGTTGACTAGACCAGGGATCTTGCTGGTTAGACATCTTGAAAAACCTTTCAAAATCAAAAATTTCTTTCTTAATCCAGCTCAAATAGATATCCTATCTTTATCTAGACTTTTTGACTCTTTCAAAGATTATGTATCGGTATAGGACGTTAGCGGCTAGGGAAACGACAAAACCAAGCTAATCAAAAAAATTAACAATTTATACAACCTCCGATCTTTAGCGATCCACTCGGGCTATACCTGAACTAAGTTAATATTAGCGACACAATGATATTTGGCAAACTTTTCAATATTTGGTTATACAAAACCTCTTCGGTTTTTTTTCTCTCTCTCTCTCTCTCTCTCTTTCGTTCTCGCCTTGTTGATTTCTTCGTGGCACGTTAAAAGAGCAAAATTTGGTTCATTGAACACGACTGTATAATCATGAAAAATTCAGAGAGAGAGAGAGAGAGAGAGAGAGAGAGAGAGAGACAAGATAGATGGGTTTAGTAATAGTGAAAAGGTTGATATAGGATGAATGCACCGGACAGATTTGAACTATTCATACTACCAGACGGGGTAGATAAGTACGTACGAAATATTCCCGGATGATTTAAGTTTCCGAGGGACTAACGTTTGTTCTCTTTTTACTAGGATAAAATTGACTCCAGATACTAAAGTCCCCAATGCTGCTATAGTAAAGATAGAAAGAGAAGACCACACGCTAGCTAATTTGTTGAGAGCACAGCTTTTGAAAGACGAAAGAGTTATATTTGCAGCATATAAAGTAGAGCACCCGTTATTTGCGAATTTCGTATTACGAATTCAAACCGAAGATGATTATACACCAAGAGATGCCTTGAGAAATGCTTGCTCTGCGCTTATTAATCAGTTGGGTATTATAAAAAGTAAATTTGAGGATGAATGGGCGTTGAAAGTGCTTTTGAATAATACCGAAGACGATTTTTGAGCCACACCGAGGAGGGGAATACTAGCGAGCGAAGCGAGCTAGTGGAGTAGCACTATCGAGCAGAGCGAGATAGTGTCGATAGTGTTGGTGGCAGCTAGTGTTGATAGTGTTGATAGTGTCGATAGTGTTGGTGGCAGCTAGTGTTGATAGTGTTGGTGGCAGCTAGTGTTGCTCCACTATCTCGCTCTGCTCGATAGTGTCGATAGTGTCGATAGTGTCGATAGTGTCGGTGGCAGCTAGTGTGCTCCACTATCTCGCTCTGCTCGATAGTGTCGATAGTGTCGATAGTGTCGATAGTGTTGATAGTGTCGATAGTGTCGATAATGTCGATAGTGTTACTCCACTATCTCGCTTCTCTCGATAGTCAGCACCAGTAAGATTTATTGCCGCCTATACTTTAACTAGAATCGTTTGTATATCACGTAATCAGAAAAATAAAGAGAACTTTTATTTTGTATTTCGATGCAAATGATATATGATATGAAGACTATACTATGCTTATGCTTAAGCAATGCGTGGGCTTTGCTACACCGGGCTTTGCTACACTAGGGTTATCAAGCAAGCTAATGTGTAATAATACAACGTAAGTATATTTCCTTTGAAGAGCAATGTAAAATAAACTGATAATATAATCACTTCACTCCTCCTTTCTTTTTTTTTTTTTTTCCTTGTTCTTTTTTCCCTTCTATTTCTTTTCAGGCTTCTTTAAAAGCCCTTTTTTTAATAGCCTCCTTGATGATAGCTATCTTTTTCATGCATTCGGGAACTGGTTCCTTGGGGAAGTTTCCTTCTTGCATTACGAGGATTAATGGGTGCGTTTGAGTCAACCGATTTGGAGATATATGTGTAATTGCTAAACCTGATTTTGAGATACAAATTTTGTGATGATCTTTGAAATTGAATTGAAAATTACCATTGGTCATTTCAAACATAATGTAGTCTGGAGTCCTACTGTACCGTCTCAAAAACACAATCTCCTTTTTCTCACCAGTCTCGCTCACTTTGGAAAGGTTGCTGTTCATGTACTTTGCAAAGAAGTCCACAATTTCCAATTGCCTCTTTGCTTGAACAGGAGGATGCGACAATGAGTTTTCAATGCAGGTCCACCCTTCCTCGTCATGATAAATCAACTCCAAAAACTTGGTTGAATTATAAAGTTTCAACAATGTGTTTTCATCGTTGAAAAGAACCCCGATATCATCATTGGTCAATTGATATGAAAATCCGTATTTGTTTGAATAGTCTACCCATTTACTTATTAATGTTGGGTTCTCGCACTTGGGTAATTCAAGCGAGTCCAAGCTGCTGCCGTGTTTCGAGTGCTCCAACCTTCTAATGTTCTGATACGTTTCAAAACATATCTGGTCAAGACGCTTGATCGTTGTGGAAAAATGTGAATTAAAGTTGACCCTTCTCGGCCTGCCAAGCTGCTCGGGGTCTACCTCTTGATACTTGCTCTTAGTATCATTAGGTGAAAGCGATTGTGGAAGTAATGCTTTTGGTTGTTCTGAATGCAAATCTGACCTCAATATTTCAATAGGATTCTTGTTCTTTGGTGTGTAAATACCTGCCATGTCTTTTGCAGACTTGAAGTTCATCGCTGACTGGGCCCTTGATATAAAATCGAGTCCATCTGGGGTATCCATCAAGCTTACTTCTCTTGTTCTATCAGGGAACGGGCCCTTGAACCAGTCATATGTTAAAATCTCATCAATTGTTGGCCTGTTCAAAGGATTTAAGCTTAACAAGTCCTTGATCAAATATTTTGCTGAATCAGAGATAGGTTTGTCTTCTGGAAAGTAATACTCTGTCTTTTTGATTCTTTCGTAGATTACATTGACATCCTTGGCTTGAAAAGGTGGTTTGCCAACCAACAAAGCATACATCATTATACCAATGGCCCAAATATCTACTTCGAAACTATGTCCTGTGTTTTTTCCGCCCAAAACCTCTGGCGCTATATAGTTTGGAGTCCCGCAAATAGTATACTTTTTGGCATCGCTTGATGGAAGCACAGAAGCTAGGCCAAAGTCTCCAATTTTGAGGTTCATATCAGGGTCGAAAAAAATGTTACCCAACTTCAAATCTCTATGAATCACCCTTCGCGAATGTAGGTACTTGATAGCACCAACTACTTGCACCATAAACAAACGTACTTCAGGTTCAGTTACTCTTTTCCGGTTTTTCAAAAGTTCCATCAACGATTGGTTCGGACATATTTCTAATAGAATGTAGACATTGATATCATCCTCAAAACAGTCAATAAAATTGACAATATTGGGGTGCTTTAACGATTTGTGAATTTTGATTTCTGACAACAATTTTGTTTTTGTTTTTTCATTTTTAATAGATGCTTTGGCAACGGTCTTGGCTGCATATATTTGCCCCGATGCATCCTTCATTTGGAAACAACGGGCAAACCCGCCTTCTCCCAAAAAATTTCCACGGCGATAATCTCTTCCATTTCTTGTTCTAACGATTGAGGGAGGTGTTTTACACAATGCCGACAATTTCTCCTTCTTTTTCTTCACCTGTTGCTTTTGTTCAGGGTGTTGTGTCTGTACGTTTTCCTTTGACCACTTTCCAAGCTTGACGGGGGTGACATTGTTCGTTCGAGCATTGAGCTGGCCATTATTCAATGGTTGCAAAGGTTGTGAGCGAAGAGCAGACATCTATTGGGCTATAATGAAGTAGGAAAAAAAAACAAACCTCTATTATGGAACAAGAAAAAGGGGAGAATGCAACGACGGGGACGCCTGAAAAGCCTAGTATCCTGGTGTTAATTGGATCTCGAAAGCTTGAACTTTTTGCAAGAATTATGGTTAATGCTTAATTTCTTTTCAATCAACTTTTTTTTTGAACTAGGTAAAGTTGATGGGTGATGGCTTGATGCTCTTTTCTTTTTTCGTAAAAAGCCTTTATCTTTCTTTGCCTACGTTTGCTTGTCCTCTCAAGACTAATCCAGATTGAAGACGACTAGAAGATGCTAATAACGCCTAAAAGAAAGAAAGAAAAAGTTTCCAAAACTCGACTTTGCATCGATTTTATATTTCTATTCACAAATGATTTGGGGTTCTGGTATGGATTCTATTTCTTACTGGTTTCACTATTGAAGTTTGGATGCATTTTCAATATATTGTTTGTATATTTACAAAGTTTCCCAATTAAGTTTTGTTTGTTTTCGTATATTCTCGTTTTAGTATAGCACGTGACCGAGATGAGTGATTTCAGTTACATTATAAGAGCTATTGCTAGGAGGATTTGCTATAGGAGGATTTGCTAGAAGGTTTGTACTTGGTTTTTTGGTTATGTTACTCTGAGCAAGTGAGTATGCACAAGGAAAGTTATGTAAATGGTATGGTAATTGCGCGGAAGTGGCATAGCTGGTTATAGTATAGCTGGTTATATAGCATGGCAAGACATCTCATCTATTCTGCTGGGAAAAAAAAAAAAAAAAAATACACTAATAAAGAGAGATTATACTTTTTGAATCAGTTCAAATATCCCTTGCACCCTGGTGCTCCACACAAACACCTAATACGTTCATCGTCATTGGTCTCTCTTTCAAACTTGTAATCGTACGTGAGCTCCTCGTTAGCCTCTATATCTCGAAGGGCGTAAATGACAATTCTCTTCTTACCTTCAACTCGAATGATCTTTGCCGTGCAGCTGGGACTACAGCAGTGATTGATAAATCTGGCAATACCTCCTTTCTTAGTCGCATCAATAACTGTGTTCTCGTCGATTCTGAACAAATACGAAGAGCCTATTCCTGTTCGCAAATAGCTCTTTTCCCTATGCTCGGCAACCTGCTGTCGAATCCTTTCCCCTACATATTCAATAATCATTTCTTTTGCTGCAATCGGTTCCATTGCATAAAGACCCCAGTTGTGAATAGAGGATCTAGCAAAGGTAACGGGTTTTTTCCGTTTAGTAAGCGCGTTCAAACTTAAAACATCCGATTCTGACCCAATTTGGGCTGTGATATCTGCAGCAAACCTTCGGTTATTCGCTCGATTGACACGAGAGCTCTGATAGGTACTGGTGGTTTCAACAGGCTTCTCGTCTTCTTCCTCTTCATATTGAACTGTCTTGATCGGCTTGTTTGCATTCTTGCGATGCGGCAAATAAAAGTCCTTACTGGCATCGGGGATTTTCTTGTATCCGTCACTCTTGAAACTTCCAGAAACGGAATCAAGATGTGCTGGCAACTCCTTATCCACGGCTTCCAATTCTTCTTCAATAACCTCGTGGTCTGCTACTTTGTTCAAATTTTGTTTCCACAGCCAATATTCAATATTCTTCATCTCAGTTGCAGGTACATCGCGTAAAACACTGAGTGCAAGATCCATATCCTCTGTGTCCATGAGGCTCTTTTGGAGATCATGCAATTGGAAAGACAAGGGTATGAAAGGTTCCGGGTAAACTGTGTGTGGACCATCTTCGGTAGCCTCGTATTTCGAGTCAAGTACTGGCGATTTTACGTCACCATTCTCCTCTGCTGCCTTGGCCGCTTCTGTTTCCTCTTCTATTGGTGCTTCTGCTTCTACTACCCTTTCTTCTTCTTCTTCTTCTTCTTCTTCTTCTTCTTCTTCTTCTTCTTCTTCTTCTCCCTCAGTAGATAAAATTGCCTTCTCAATATCTGTTGAAACAGTCTTTGTACCTTTCTTCACTTTAGATCTTTGTTTCTTCAACTCTGGTTCGTCGACATAGTTTTCTTCACTCACCGTCGTCGTGTCAGTGAGACTACGAACTCTCTTCAAACCATGCGCCACGGGAGTTGCGGACCTACTAGTTGACTCATCTTCATCCTCCTCGTCATCAGAAACATCCTCCTCGTCAAGATTGAGTGCATGCAGCATCGGCACAATTGCACCCTTTCTACGACGTCTCCTCTCATCATCTCTTCCTTCTATTTTTTTAAAGTAGGGTATTCTTTGATTGAGAATTCGTCTCTCTTTTTCCAAATAAGACAAGGCATTTAACTTAATCTGGGCGTTTGATACAGCCACAGATTTGGCCTTTGCCTCTTTTTCTTTAAGTTTAAGTTCTTCAACTATTGACGGATAGTTTTCATGATCCAAAAGCTTTAAAATATGAGGTGCAAGAATCCTCTCTCTAATATCCTTGATGAGAAACGATTCAAATTCCTTGATTAAAATATTTGATGCCTCGTCAATCACATCATTCCCCTGTTCATCTGCAGCGCTTGATTCAACATAGCCCTCGGGAACTGCCAATTCCATCACCAACCTGTACTCAAAAAACTTGTGACAATCTTCTTTCAAAAAACACCTTTCACATTCCCTCAAAGAGTTGAAAACAATATAAAACCCACTCTTGTCTGATAAAACTCTAGTCCAGTCGTACTTCTTCAACACTCTCTTGATATCATGGGACGAAATTTTTGTTGTCGGCACATATTTGTCACGAATCAACAAGTAAGGTCTGTTTTTGACGTATTTGGATAGCTCATTGGGCAAATATATGCCCCTCTTTACTTGGTTATTATGCCTGCTAGACATCAACGTGGTATTTGGTTGAAATTTCAAAGCTGCAGCTTGCCGTATAGCCTCTTGTTCCTTCAATTGATTCCGTAACTCTTCCTCCTTCTTGAGCATTTCCTCGTGCTTCTTCTGTTCTTCCATAAGTTTTAGTCGTCTTTTTTCTTCTTCTTGCTCTCTTTTGAGCCGCTGGTTAATTATTTTACCTCTCGCTATGTTTACCTTTTGATTTAACAAATCGTCTTCATTGTCATTAAGACCAACTTTCAACTGTTTCCCGTCAATCTCCACTGCCTCCGAGTTAACAATCTTTATGAATTTATGGGCGTAATCACTTGCCTTTTCAACACTTCCATGGAATTTGAAAGTTGCAACACCCAAGGGCACTGCACTATTGGGATCGTTGATGATTTTCAACTCCTTTATAGAAAAGCCAAAGCTACTCAAGAAATTGGTTAGATAGGTTGCATTAATGCTTAAAGGAAGATCCCAAAGAACCAAAGTGGTTAACGGTGCTGGCCCTAAGGAATCCTTGTCAAAAGTGAATTTTGCTCGTGGAAGTTGTTTAAATGGAAACTTAGCTGATTTCTTGTTTGGCTTTTGTAAATACTGTGCGAGGTTCAAGAGTCGAGGGTCCACGTTGTCACTCTCTGAAACACCTTCTCCTTCAAGTCTTATTTTTTTCGATCGAAGTTTCCTCTCATGCTTGGATAAAGTCTTATCAAGTTCGGGATCGTATAATACTTTGTAATTCTTAGAGCTAGTTTCCTTTGTAGTTGAAATAGCTATTAGTTTGGTGGTAAAGTCGCTATGATGAGCTAGTTTTACGAAATCGGCATCGCGCTTGTTGATACCTGTTCTCATATCAGTTCCTGGTACCAGAACAATATCTGTTATTTGATTTCTCTCTCTCTCACCGGAAATCGACATTGGTGTACTTTTACCCGAAGAATCTTTAGGGTACCATTTTCGTCGACCCTGCTCGATATAGGGACGAGTATCATATTCGCTAATCTGCTCATGTCCATTGTATCTGGTGTTTAGCAGCAGCAGCAGCAGCAGCAGCAGCCGCTGCTGCTGCTGCTGCTCAATGGCGGCTGAAAAATGCTCATCGTCGTAACCTCTACGAGAAAATCCCGGTTCATGACGGTTGGATCTCTTGTAGTACGCACGAGTTTGGTCATTACCTCTATCACTTCTATACCCCGTCTGCCTATAGTTGTCACCACCATATGCCATTATCCAGATATATAAAAACTACCCCCCTCCAAACTCGTCAACTTCAGCTTTTTAGCGGCAATTTTGCAAAAACAAAAAGACTCTTCAGGCTACTAAAAAGTGAAATGACCTAGTGTTAGTATTTTCCTTATATCTTGAAGCCCAACTAATCCCAGCTTCAAAATATTCTATATCTAATTCTGACTTTAAAATCAGTAATGGTAAGATAATCCTTCTCCGTTTTTTTTTTTTTTTTTTTTATTTTATTTTATTTTTTTTTATTTATTTTTCAACCGCGCGATTGCGATAGTGTGCACTTAACGGATAGGCCGAAAAAATAGCAGAGTATACTATAAGAGTAAAGAGGTATTTGTATATGGAGGAAAGATGATTGATAAATAAATTTGTATTCCGGGATGTTCTATAAGCGCAGTTTTGGTCTACCTGATAGATTTCCCTCATTGCAAAGATAAAAAAAGGGGAACATGTTCTTTCCCTGAATGAAAGGAATGCTAGTAACAAAAATTATTTCAATCCGATATACTCTGAGTATCTCTTATTTTCATGCTTTCACTAACGTGTACGTTTTCTTCTTCTTCTTCTTCTTCTTCTTCTTTTTCTCCTCCTCCTCCTTCTTCTTCTTCTTCTTCTTTTTTTTTTTTTGTTTTTCATTTCTCACTTAGTTCTAATGTGTTTTAGTGGCCCTGCTGAATGATAGAAATTAGCAGAATAATCTTTCTTTCTAAAATGTCTCTTTTTAGGTTCTTGAACATAATGGTCCCAACCCTGGTTTTCAGCAAACCTTACAGCAGCCTCTTTAGTATCAAATTTCATAATTGTTCCTTGCATATAATCGGAAGAGCCCTGATATCCCATCAAGTCGTTCTCCCATCTGTTCCCTTTCCCCAATACATCCCAATCCAACTTCCAATGATCACCATTATGGTGTCCTGATTGTGTAGCTGGCTTTGCCTCTTGATAAATTCTAACTACCCTACTTGTTACAAGATCTTTTGGTGCCCCGGATACAACTTCCTTCCCATCTGAATAGACCGGTTTCAGAAGCTCTGATTGTTTAATACGGGGGGTCATTGCAAATGAGCGCGCCATATTTTTGGAAACAAACTTGGGTACTTGCCTTGATATCATTATAAAATATAACTATATCTCTCTCTCTCTCTCTCTTGTAAAGGTGTGTATCCTAAAATTAAGTTGTACTTCAAAATGATCTTCTTGTTCAATGTACTACAAGATGAATGTTCGGCTTATTTTTGCTTCAATAGAAAAACTTTGGTTGGTTAGATTTTTTTTTCTTTTTTCTTTTTTTCCGCATTCTCTTTTCAATTCGCATTTTTCTTTTTCCGATATGGGAAGAGATGGAAAATCTCAATAAGTTTATGAATGATGAAAGAGCAGAGATTTTCTAGAGGTTTGTGAGTGTTTATGTGTGGTGTTGTAAGCCGGTATATTCATCTTAATGTCCTCTAGTCAGATTAACCAAGCATTGAAAGAGATCATCCCGTCGTATAACGGGGAGAATCGTTCAAAGCTTATCAATTATGTCGATTCGTTATACCATCTCAGTCTCAGAAAGCAGAGCGGGTTACCAAACAACAGTGGTATAGGAAGGTACCACTTGTGCACTTATGTGATAGCTGAGAAGTATCAAAACTTGTTTGATCTTCCAACTCCTGACAAGTCAAGGATACCGATTCAACCACAATTGGTTGATAAGCTAATCGATGATTTTCGAGATTTCGTTAATCAATTATCTGCAGCAAGTACGCCAAACTCAAGTCCCCAAAAAAGAAAAAGAATTGCAAGTACGCCAAACTCAAGTCCTCAAAAAAGAAAAAGAACTGCAAGTAGCTCTCAAACAACCCCTGTGTCTGGTAGTTTCATGGGAAGTCTAAATGAGAAAATAAAGCAATCTGGCTCTCCTTTGAAAAAACTCCGGCAAGCTGCAGATACGACTCTGAGTAACTCAAATAATGACAATGATATCGAAAATGATATCGACAATGAGGACAAAAACTCTCCATTCATAGAGAAACCAAAGACACCGTCGAAACGGAAAACTAGACATGACCCTAAAGTTGTTCTGATCCCTGAGTTTATTACATTTTGCAATACCTTCTTTATACCAGCCAAATACTCCTCGCAAATGATACGAACATTTTTCCTTCACAAGCACAAATTTGCAAAGAAAACTGATTGGCCGCTAGCTTGTGGTATAATATATGCTGCATATATTAGAATCAATAGCCAATTACTTAGCAAGACAATAGGTGCAAAGTCAGAGTTTATGGCACTTATGTTGCAGTATCAAAGGGGCGGCTTACTGAAGCTGACCCTTCAATCGTGGTGTACTTTAGTGGGAGACTGGATCAAGGACGAGCCTTGGATACAAGCTATAGAAAAGCAGTACGTTGCGGGAAACGAAATCAGGGAAGAGGATCGAATGCAAAATGAGTATAGAGGTCGTGTAGGCGAGGGCTGGGCATTACTAGAACGGTTTGGAGCTATGATTCATGGTGAACATTTGTACGAGTCTAATAACCAAATCAAGTACTACAATACTTGGTCAAAAAGGGCCCATGATGCATTTGAACAGTTGAGTTGAAAGAAAAATATACATATACTAAAAAAAATATTATCCGTTCTACCTTTGTATGGTGCACATCACCACATAATTGAAAATAAAGTTGAGTAAGAAAATTGAAAAATTAGTTTCTTTTTTCTCCTTGCTATAAACGATAGGACCAAGAGTTGTTTCAAAATTTCAATAATAATAATTTGCACTGGTTGTATAAATGAAGAGGAATGGGGAGACCCATATAAAAGGAACAGCAAAAAGGAAACGATCCAAGAAAGTAGGAGAAAAGAGTGGTGTTTTTGAACGTGTAGAGCCTGAGTTTGAGTTTGAGTTTGAGTTTGAGTCTGAGTCTGAGTCTGAGTCTGAGTCTGAGTCTGAGTCTGAGTAGTTCTAGTCCAAGTCCAAAATGCTCCTATCTAAATTAGTTTTCAATACAGTTTACTCAAATAACAACAAATGGGAGCATACTATTAATCGTGTGGTCAGCGCCGTTGTCTCCATCCAATTCTCGCATGTCACTCCATTTGACACAGAAACTACTCTTGTGAGCGAAGCTTCAGGGTTTGTAGTTGACGCGGAAAGAGGGTTGATTTTAACGAATAGACACGTTGTGGGGCCTGGTCCTTTTACAGGTTACGTTGTTTTCGATAACCACGAGTCTGTTGATGTAAAGCCAATTTATAGAGATCCTATACATGATTTTGGTTTTTTACAGTTTGACACTCGGGGTGTAAGGTATTTGAAGTTAACGAAACTTGATTTGGAGCCGCAACTAGCCAAAGTTGGTACTGAGATCAGAGTTGTGGGGAACGATAATGGGGAAAAGTTGTCGATTCTTGCGGGTATTATATCGAGGATAGATAGGAATGCGCCTAATTACGGAGAACTCGAATATAGTGATTTTAACACGGAGTACATTCAAGCAGCGGCATCGGCCTCAGGAGGCTCATCGGGCTCCCCTGTGATCAATAAAGACGGAAAGTGTGTTGCTTTACAAGCGGGTGGTGCTACAAATGCTTCAACCGACTTTTTCTTACCTGTTAACAGGCCAAAAAGAGCTCTTCAATGCATTCAGCACGACATGCCCATTACTCGAGGAGACATACAAGTTGAATGGCAATTAAAACCATTTAATGAATGTTCTAGACTTGGATTAAGCTCAGAAGCAGAGACCAAAGCTAGAGAGTTATTTCCCGGTAAAATAGGCTTATTAGTTGCACTACTTGTCTTACCCGGCGGACCTGCCGATGGTATTATCGAGGAGGGTGACACCTTGATATCTGTTAATGGCGAATATATTTCTACTTTTGTAAGGTTGGATGAGATATTAGACGAAAACGTTGGAAAAAACTTGGACTTTGTAGTACAACGAAGTCAGTGTGAGTTGAAACAGAGTATTAAGATAGGCAATCTACATGATATAACACCAGATAGGTATGTTCAGGTTGCTGGTGCAACGTTCAATAACCTTTCGTATCATGTTGCTAGTTGCTATTGTTTACCGGTGAAGGGAGTTTACGTATGTGATGCCATGGGATCGTTTAAATTTGCAGTTCTGGACAGAAATGGCTACTTGTTGGACACAGTGGATGACAAACCCGTGACCAACTTGGATGAATTTGTGGAAATCATAAAGAAACTTCCCGACCGTTCAAAATTTCTAGTTTCTTACCGACACGTTTCCGACATGCACGCAAAATATATTCAAACTATTCGTATGGACAGACATTGGTATCCTTCATTTATAATGGCCATCAGGAATGACAAAACAGGTTTGTGGGATTTCAAAACACTACAGGAAACACCATTACCGCCTACCACTCGTCACGGAGTTCTACGGTTCAAATAACTATAAGGAAATTCACTAGGATCGTCTCAGAACTGTGCAAAATGGATGCGGTCATTTGCTGGAATTAAAATACTTAGTCTAGGCAAAATCGATTGTTATCCTCTTCAACTGAACAATTGCTATGGTGTTGTTGTTGACGCAGCAAATGGATTTGTCTTGGTGTCGAGAATGTATGTGCCACACTATATGTGCGATGTCATTGTTGAGTTTGCTGAAGCTATTGATGTACCTGGCAAAATTGTATTTTTACACCCGCATCTTAATTATGCAATCATCAAGTATGACCCAAAGTTGGTGTTGGCAGACGTACAATCGCCCAAATTTTCAAATGTTCCATTGAAACGAGGAGACGATGTGCTTTTTATTGGACATAAATACGATCAAAGAGTAGTTACAGAGGAGGTAAAAGTAAGTTCCGTATCATCAGTAAATGCCACTGCAGACATAACATCGCCCTGTTATTACGGGACCAATTTGGAGTGTGTTTTACTCGATAGTAAGATTGCTCAAGAATGTACTTCGGGTGTATTGATGGATAATGATGGTACATTGAGAGCAATTTGGCTATCATTCTTATCATGTTATAAAATGGCGTTGGATGTGACAGATGTAGCAGAAGTGATAAGTTCATTACAAGAAAACCAAATATCACCAAGTATAAGAATGCTAAGCGCCGTGTTTGCAGGAAACTGTCATTATGTTCCTTCTTGTGCTCCACAAGGCCTTCTTACCTAGGTTAGATTTGAAGAGGAAGCTGAAGACTACATTAGGTTGTTTTTTGTCAATAGAGTGGCAGCTTCACGCATTGGCGAAAAGCCGTATCCTTTGAAAGTTGGGGATGTTGTTCTTTCGGTTGACGACAAAATAGTAACAAACATGAGAGGGTTCCACTCTATGTATCAAAAGGAATCTTTGGTTTTCAAAATTATACGCGAGAAGAAGGAGATGACTTTAGAGGTTCCAACCATAGAAACAGACACATTGGAGACCTCGCAAGTTGTAAATTGGTGCGGCATGATGCTCCAAAAGCCACATTTTGCAGTTTGGCAATTAATGACAAAGATTCCTTCCGAAGTATTTGTCGTAGACTTGAGTGATTGTGGGCCTTCTTACCAATATGATATTGAACCAGTTAGCTTTATCACTCATGTTAATGACGAGGAGACTATAGACTTGGAGAGTTTTATTAAAAGAATTCGAGAAATACCAGACAATACATTTGTCAAGCTTAGAATGGTATCAATTGATATTATCCCTACTGCCATTTCCTTAAAGACTAATTATCATTATTTCCCAACAACCGTTTTA